TCTCCGGAGGACAGTTTAATGTAGGTAATATGATTTGACAGAATTGTAACATACCTAAATTTGTTTTCACTTGATTTGTATAGAATTGTAACAATACAACGTATTGCTTCATTGGTTAGCCAACTTTAATAAAGAAGGAATTACTTTTTTGTCCTAATGATTTGTATTGTATTGTATTCAGCCCTTTTTAACGTCCCACTGCTGGGCACGGGCCTCCCTTCAATACGAGGGGGATCAGGCCATAGTCCACCACGCTGGCCAAGTGCGGGTTGGCGGACTTCACATGTCTTTCGAAACCTAATGATTTATTTAATGAAAAACTGTAAAAATGTAAAAATTGATTCTCATTTTATAATCTACGACTCGTGTGGATTATAAACCCCAAAAATTCATCCCGATAAGTTTTAACGGTTAGTATATAATAGACCAATGACCATATACATATATGTATACATTTGTATAGAAAAGTAGGTAAGTACTTTAAATATCAAAAAGAATTCTATCCCTTCACTATACAAACTCTCACCCCCCCCTCGCATCCCTCCCCCCTTCAATTAAGAAACGAAGGATAAATACTAACATGTCCTTCCCAGGATCTCAAATTATCTCCATAACAAATTTCATCCAAATCGGTTCAGCAGATTAAGCGTGAAAAGGTAACAGACAGACAGATTTACTTTTGCATTTATAATATTAGTATAGATGGGTTCTAAAACGAACAATATAAATAATTTCGGATAAATAAATGTTATTTTATTTTTATAAGAATTTATATAATAAGGATGATATTGTGACTTGGAAAATGACCATAATAAATAATTAGTTACTGTCATTCAAGGTACGTAAGAAGAATACGCCGTGACTTTCCATAAAGTGGGTTCATTTAACAAGATTCAAATTTTGTAGAAGGCGAGGTTTTATGCATAGTTAATTAATTGAACTACACCCAAAGCGAGATTAAAATTTAAGTGCTTTGAACTAAGTATGGTCTTAAGAAAATGAGACGAGTTATACTCGTAATGCAACAAAAGTGTTTGTTTCTCGTATATCGTCATTCATTTATCTATTTTCTTTTATACTTTTCTTTTATATATGTTTGACATCATAGAATTGTGTTTTTAAATAAAAAAAAATAAAAAAAATGGAATAGATGCTCAAATTTTGAACCAAATTTCTCTTTTCAGAAAGGTCAGGATATTTATTTAAAGTTTTTTTTTATATTAATATTGAAACAGTAGAATTTAGCTACTTATTAAATCTAACAAATTCAAAACGAAAATAGAATAAGTTTTAAATAGCAACCACCTCCATAATGTCTTCTTTGATTCTATTTAATTTTACCAAAGTTTTTTACTTAAGCTTTGACCTTTAATATTAAGGTAAAAACTTACTACTTTCTTAGATTTACGCGAATATATATATATATATATATATATATATATATATATATATATGTGTATATATATATATATATATATATATATATATATAAATTATACCTATATATAAAACAAAGTCGGGTTTATTACAACACTTATAACTCGAGAACGGCTAGACCGATTTTTGTGATCTTTGTTTTGTTGGATTTGTCTTCACCCCAAATAACAGAATAACTATTAAAACAACGGAAAAAATTCACGAAAAAAATAATTGAAAAAAAAATTTCTATTCCATACTAAGCGTCAAAACCTACCTAGAGACGTACCTAAGCAAAGCCGGGTTGAGTCGCTAGTTTTAAATAAAACTTACCTTAATAACCTTTCTACCTGTTTTATTAAAAACAGTTCAAGAGATTACTGTTCAAACAGATATTAGGTATATAAATGGTTTTCTTGTAACGCTCAGATAAAAATAAAATTCAAAATTTAAGTTTTTTTTTAACTCCAAATACGGTGTAGATTTTTTTTGTAATCAACTGATGTTACTTTTTTTTACTGTTACGATTAAATATGGTATATGTTTAAAAGAGGCATAAACCTAAGTAACCGTGAAGATAAGGCCAGTGCCAGATCAGATAGCTTATTTATTATAGCTTAGAGCTGACTATGCGAAAAACATGCTATGTTTGAGATACTTATATATATATATATATATACTAATCGTATATATATACTAATATTATAAAGAGGTAATGTTTGGTAGTTTGTGACGTTGTACGGGGTAATTTCTGGATCTACTGAACCGTTTTAGATGAAATTTGGTAAGAAGATAGTTTGAGACCCTGACTAGTAAATAGAATACTTTTCATCCCGGAAATCACCCCTTAAGGGGGTGAAAATGGGAATGTAAGTTTGTTTTGGGAAGCAAGCTAGGGACGAACCCGAGCAAAGCGAGGGTGAGTCGCTATTCGCTAGTATTAAATATGGTATATTAGTGATTATAGGTGGATGTATTATTACATCTGTTATCTGTTTTTATGCAGGCATAAAAAAATCTTACCACGTCCGCTCAACGCGACTACGAGTTCGGTAAATACTCATAGTCACAACAGCTACCAACTATTTACAATATGTTATTTTATGGGGTCTAATTAGGAACAAAGAAAACTTTAAATATATTAAGCATGTCAATAAGTGGCACTAAATGTGCAATATTGTTTTGAAGTTGTTTGAAGTTGATGAATCTATTATTTTTATAAATACTCTGAGTTTAAAAGAACGTTCTGAGTACAATTAATCGATACAATGCTTAAATCAAATTTCCGTAATTTTACTCAATATTAAGAATTCATCATCAATTTAATTTTTTTCAAAGTCACTGAATTCGTTTTACCAAATGCGAAAATTGCCTGAAAAATAAATAAATCTGTCCAGTTATAGAATATAGTGTATAGTATCGAATGGTGTAATAGGTATACCGTCTGTGGTTATCTATAAATAGGCAAAGACAAAACAATACAGTGCCTTTTTCTCCTCTGTTTATCAACCGATTTTTTTTGTTTAGTACATTAGCCATTGACGATTTTTATTGATAACAATAAAAAAAATTGGAAGTAGTCGTGTTCTGCACTGTTTTACTGCTCTTTAAAAAATAAAAAAAATAGCCTTAAATTAACAAATAAAAAAAATCACTTAACAAACATAACAAACATGTAGGAAACATGAAATTATCAAAGTACCTACATATATTTTATCAAGTCTTCTTGGAATAAAATTTATTTCCCCCATTCAACACCTTTAAAGTTCAGGAGTTCAAGAATATGTAAAAATATTCTACGATGCGCCATCTGATAAATATGCAACCAAGTAATTTTACCAAGAACTTTTAAACGACGATGGTTAAGTCAGCACAGATTTATATAATACTTAGTTAAGTTTAGTTCTTTAACTGAAAACCTTTTAGAAATAATATTTTGTTACATTTAATTATTATGCTTTTATTTATTTTTTTCAATAATTTCTTCTCCATCCTTTCTAAGTAATATGGTAGCATGTGTAAATAAAAAATTATATACTGAACAAAATCAAATTCGTATGTCTCAAACTAATCCCGCTCTTATGTTTGATTTATTTAAGTAATTTTTTTTTTTATTATTTTACATTTTCAAAAACAGAAAATTACATTTTTATTCATACTAGCGTTCGCCTAGAAAGTCGACCATTATTATTTATTTAAAGCTCGCCAATAGCTAAACAAAAAAAAAAGTCGTCATACAGAGGAGAAAAAGGTTTGTCTTTGCCGATTTATGGTATAGAACCTAAAAATAATTTTTACTCCTTGTTCGTGCTTAGTTTTGGGGGTTTATCTCTCTTTAACACAATAAAAGACCGGATCGATGTAGTTTTTTGAGTAGAGATGTCTACTGTGTGAAGTGTAGAATTTTGCTGACATCTGGCTCATTAGAATCCGGCAGTTCAGCCAAGAAACGCACGGCGAAGTGGCCCACTTCGGTGGGTGGTGTACTATGCGAGCTGCTCCTGTTACTTCGCTGATGGCAGAGTTGACCGTTGGGGCAACCCTATGGCTGTTGTGGTCTGCTTCGGTAGACCAGCCGTCGGAGAGTTTGTTGTTGAGTTCGTAAGCGGTCACTAAGACGGGGGAGGTTTTGTTAGCTTTTAGTGGGTAGCATTGGCTTTTCTAGCTTCTGAGTCGCACATAACAACCTGTTTCTCTACAGATGGTATGCGTAAATACCAATATAAAAAAAAAGAAAAAATACGAAACATTTCGTTCTCACGCCAATTCTAACTTAAGTAAAACATCAGTAACTTTAAATATATGTACGTAAGATAATCATTTCAATGCAAATTGTTTCTTAACCGTAGTCTTTTCCATTTCTGTTTGAACTGGAGGCGGTGAACCTAACTTCCTTACGATGCTCAAAGGACTTACACTCCTCATGTTATATTCATTAGTTTTCCTTACCTGTAACAAAAAAAGTATTATTTGTTGGTTGTTCATACCACTTGCTATCTTAAACAATGAGTTTGTTTAATTGATATCATTTGAGAAATTAAAATATAGAGGTATGGAAATATTATATTTTGACTAAGTCACATCATATATATTTGAGTACGTTCCGGGATAGTTTAGATTCACAACTCAACCCGCAGGTGGCGCGGGCGCTGCAGTCGGATTCCAGGATTTTTGTGAAGGCCATATTCAGGCAGGACAATGTCTGTCGGGTCCACTAGTTAATGTAAACTAAAAAAAACAAAGCAAAAGCTTATATATCAAATCGTCAAATGCATTTAAAGACACATTCAAGCGAAGCGCGTGCAATAACCCTAGCCACTAATAATAATGAATGAATATCAACAGCAATAATGATGTCACCAATAGACAGATGAGATCAAAAGTTTACAAAACTATTCACTATCGTCTGTAAGTTGAATGAAGTTTGGAATAAACAAAAGAAATGTTTGTAAACAGAAATCGCGGTTAATGGAATATAAGGAGGTGTATCTAGCCTTTGGCTCACTCGCACGTATGCAAGTGATTTTGATCCTGTCAATTCTTGTAATGTTGGCACTGAATTTATATAAGTGAGAATCTTCACAATGAAAACTAGTGAGTATATTTTTCTATATATATAAAATATAATATATACCGACTGACAGTTAGGGAGTTTTCTTATTAACACTCTCTTAATACTATATATTGTAATATATAAAGCTGTAGTTTGTTTTGTTCGTTTGTTTGGACGCGTTTGTCTTTGGAATTGTTAGGAGTGGAGGGTTTAGGCTATCTAACGTCCCGCTACGACTCCTTCGGAGCGGAGCCATTATACATTAATAAACTAAACGGACGAAATCGCAGGAAAACGCTAAGTATATATAATCATAAAAAATACTTTGTACTTACAAGTAATACGATGTTTACATAAAATCCAAAGCTCTCTTTTTACAGACATTAATTTTTGAAAAACTTTATATCGAAATTGATTCAGTTGGTAATTTGAGTGGTCAAAGTCATGTAATCTGAGAGACAGAGTACCTTTTATTTTTATATTAGTAGATACGCTGCTAAGGGTCTAACTACCATTATCCTTTACGCTAGACATGGCAGTTTAGTTTTCCGCAAGGGATTTACTATACGAGTATAACATACGAATAAAACACTGTCGGTCGTGACGGTATAAGTAGTATAACTATACAACTCCATGAAGGCCGCTAAAATCAGTATATTACAGACAAAGATATAAGATTATACTTACATTTATATTTTCAATGAAAATTAAAAAAAAAGTTAAAAAGATCTTTTTTGGAAACGTTTTAAAGATTACAGTTTATAAAAATTATCTCAATAAGTTTATACTGTTTACCAATTAAATTATTATTTTTAATCGATTCTGTTAACTTTTAAACGTGTAAATGGTTCGTCAAAACAAATTAATTTGGTTAAAATATGAGATATTTACTATAGGCCATTGTATGTCATATTCATATTTGCTCATCATCGTATCATCTAAAATCACATACTTGTATTGTTACACGAATTACATATATTTGCAGATTCAAATTGATAAAAGTAGGTTAATTAACGTTCTAGATGAGTTTACATGTTACGTTTGTCACTTTGTTAGCTACACATATGTGGAGCTAATAAAAGTGTGTTAGTATTTGTATATGGGACCATGGTACGTAAAATCAGGGCTGTCATTTAGATCTACGATACGATTATATATTGTACATTGTACAATATACTCGTATATTTAGCCTTTTTAAAAGTCCCACAAGGACCTCCTTTTCGAGAGAGAGATTCAAGAGAGGATCAGTTCGTAGTCTAATCAGGATCAGGACTTCACATGTCTTGTCAGGTTTCACCGAAATTATGTTCGAAAATTATTCGCACATGAAAATATCAAAAGTGCGAGACCCGTTTGAACCCGCTTCATTTGCATTTGTAGTGCTTTCAAGCAAGCACATTACGCAGCTACCAGTGCTTATTATTAATGTCGGTTAAAAATATAATCAAGGGACTAAGATATAATATCATTAAACAATCGTTGTAGAATATAAATCTAAAAAATATTATGTGAATGACTAATCATCATAAATTAACTATTAAATGTTGATCTATACATATAATAAAATTTAATCTGAGTCGAATCTGAACATTAAATATTTCAGATTTTTAGTCTGTCTGTCTGGGAATGCATAGCGACAAAACCACTGTACAGATTTTAATGAAATTTGGTATGATGGTAGCTGGCTATCCGGAACAACTTTTAGGATACTTCTTACTGCGGAAAAATATCTCATCTCTGAGAAATCTATACTAACCGTTAAGACCTAGTCTATTCTATAAGAATTGTAAAATGGCATCTTGTGTAAATTTCCATATTTGATTAGTAAAAGCTAAACCGTTCAAACTTTTATTACTGAAATATAAATTCATCTAACTTCAAACGGAACATACAAAGCTATAAAGTGAAAAGTTAAATCAAATGTATTCATGTCATTGTCAGAGTTTTTATTAAAAAGTTTAGTTATCGGAGTATTATAGTATGTTTTCACAAAGTTTCTCTTTTTCAGGCGTTTGGCATCTCTCAATAATGTTAGTGGCTGTTAATGCAAGATACGAGAAGGCAAATGCTAAGCAGGATTGGTGGGAGACAGCTGTGTTTTACCAAATTTACCCGAGGTCGTTTTTGGACAGTAATGGCGATGGGATTGGTGATATAAATGGTTATTATCGAATTACTAATTAATGCGAAAGTATGTATTTGTGTATGCTTTTTACTCCTTCATGCTGAAACAGACAGACAGACAGATTTGATTCAAATTTAGTATATAGATAGACCCTAATTTGGAGACTGGACTACGATATAAACCACTGTTAGGTATCTAGTAACGCATCTGAGCGAGAAGAATAGATACTAGGGTGAAAAGCTAGTGGCTTAGTTGTGAATATTTTATGGGTTATTTTTATTTATTTTTTGAAACCTTTGCAAGAATTTTCCTTAGCTTATAGATCGAGTTTCAGTACTCTTTTATCTTTATATAACCTTTATATAATATGATCATAATAGAAGAGAAATGTTCGAAGTGATACTTATAGCCGCAACATAAAAAAACGCCTATACTTACATATGTATATACTTTCAAACCATACAAGAATGTCTTTATTATCCTGTTTGTTTGTCTGTCTTTCTTGGTGTTTTGGTTTGTCTATCGAAGTGACATACATATTATATAGACTATATCTTATCTCGAAATAACAGGAGATTCATCTAAAATTTATATTAATTACAGTACACAAATCGATAACTTGTTGAAATATGAAAATAAAATTTATTTAGTACAAAAAATGGCGTTTGTTTTTAAATTTTACAAACCCTTCCTTTCAGGAATAACTTCAAGACTAGAATACCTCAAAGACCTAGGAATAGACGCCACATTGTTATCTCCTATATTTAAATCTCCGATGCACGACTTTGGCTACGATATATCCGATTATTATTCAATTCATCCAGAGTACGGCACTATGGATGACTTTGAACAACTCCTTAAAAAGGCTAATGAGCTTAGTAAGTTCAACTTTATTATAAAAAGCTTCATAAAGCTTCGCCTAAAGATAAACGACGAAAGTTTGAAAGCCTTGAAAGGGACAACAGTCGGCACTTTCGTATCTTTTTTTGGCTGATTCAACTTGGAAATGTCATGTCTATACATAATATACAATAAAATCTGAGTCGAATTTGTAGATTCAGTATTTTTTATCTTATTGAAATAGTTATTACTATCGATACAGAGGCTGAATCTTTAGTTTGTAGTATTTTTGATTGTCTGTCTGTCTGTTTGGCAACATATCAAGAGAAAACTACTGGACTAATTTTGATGAAATTTGGTAAGACGATAGCTGGTTTATCGGGTCAAATATCTATCTCATCTTTGAGAAATCTATACTTAACGTTAAAACGTTGCTACTATAAAATAAATTTGTTACATAATAGATTATTATCTATACATCTATACAGATAAACCAAATTGAAGTGTCTGTTTGTAATGTCAAAACAGCTTTTTACTTAATGCATGTGAAATTATATACGGAACTTATAAGGAAAAACAATTATTTTTTTTGTCTGTCTGTTTATTTCGGCTAATCTCCGAAACGGCTGAACCAATTTTTAATAGGACTTTCACTGGTTTACCTACTAGTGAAAGTCGTATTAAAATCGGTTCAGCCGTTTCGGAGTTGATGTTGATGCCTGATGATAAGGAGTAACTTAGGCCTCTTTTATTTTAGAAAAAGAATTAGGGTTCAGCTCAAAAAAAAAACGTACAAAGCAAAGCGAGGGTAAGTCGCTAGATTGGAATAAATCTGAAAATTCTTAGTTCTATTTTTCTGATATTTCTTATGCATTATACATATTTCTAGCGATGTCAATGATTGATATAATATTAAAAAAAAACCTATTCCAGACATTAAAATAATATTAGATTTCGTACCGAATCATACGAGCAACGAGAGCGAATGGTTTATTAAATCATCCAATAGGGATGAATACTACAGTGAGTGGTATATTTGGGAGAATGGACACCGCGATGCAAAGGGTCAGAGACGTCCTCCGAACAATTGGGTAAGAATAGGATCTAAAGAGTTTAGTTTAACCAATTTAAATGAAACTGTAGTTAAAGCCTTTGAATTCAATATATCGAATTCAAAGACTTTATCACTATTTAACTAAAATGATTTTCCATCTCCAGAAGCCTTTTTCTTGAAATTTATACGATAACCTTATATTATCTTTGTTAAAAATGAATAATTATAATCGGTACAAAATTGGTAACGAGTAAGATTTACGAAATCTAAACCCGAATCCTACCTCTTCTTTTTTTGAAGTCGGTTGAAGCTAAAAATATTCAGAGAACTTCAAGCAATAAATAAATGTTTTATATGTCTACATAGTTACGAGTACATAGTATCTTATCAAGAAAGTGATTTGGATTTTAAAAGCGGGAAAACCAGCAACCCTTTTACAAATAACAAAAAGCACTTGTTTGTTGTGAATAACACTTGATGCAACTACCTCATGATAAGAATATATGATGGCATGACAACTCTTGTACTTATAGAAACATAACAAACCCACGTGCTACATTCGTGATAGTTTTACTAGGAGACAGCTCGTAATCTAATCTTAAGTTGCAGCTATTAATTTTTGTATAGATTTGAAATAAAAAATAAATAAATATGTTCGGACATTAATACACAGCACTATCTAGTTCCATGGTAAGCTACGAGGCCTGTTTTATGGATAGCAGATAGTTGATACACTACACATATAAAACTTTAAACACATACATATTATAAATATAAACAATAAACATACATGACTGAAGTACAAACATTCGTGCTCATCACACAAATGAATGCCCCCAGCGGAACTCGAACCAGCGACCGCTGGCGCAGCAAGTATGGTACTACAAAATGAGCCAAACGTAAACGTAATACAACATATATATCATCAAACGTGATCTGTTAATCTTTATCCGGACCTAAATAGACCGGACCTAGATAGTACCTAAATAGGTACTCTGTAAAAAACACTACTTACTTATATCGTACCTGGGCAACCTAGATTCGCTCGTCGGTTTTTTTGTAAAAAAAATGCGTTTTTTCAAAAATATTAAGTACACCTGTATAGATAAAGGAACTTAAAAAGCAAAACCTTATCTAAATACAAAATTTTGTCTGAGATACCCGAAGGATATACTAGAATTCCTCATTTGTTAAAAGAAGATAAAACTGAAATCTTTTACCTAAATCTGCCTTTTCTATTTAGGTTTGTGTGCTTAAACTATATACTTCCTACAGTTTTCATCAAAACGTCAAAAGTATTAGGAAATGAACTGGAAATGTGTCAATACTAAAAGCCACCACTTCCCAAATTAGTTTATTACATACTAGCATTGCCCGCGGCTCTGCCCGCGTTCAGATGACCAAAAACCAAATTCTTAAGTTTTATATATTAGTTTTATATATTAGTAGTACTTATATTGCAGTTTTTGTATCCTTTCTCAGAAATGAGACATTTACCCGCGGTAAAAAGTATCCTATATGTTGACCCGGATAACCAGCTATGACCATACCAAATTTCATCAAACTCCCTCCAGTAGATTTTCAGTGATGCGGTAACAGACAGACAGACAAAAATCCTAAAGACTATGAATTCGGCCTCTATATCGATAATAATGTCTATTTCAATAAGATTTTCCAAAAAATATTTAATATACAGATTCGACTCAGAATTTTATTATATGTATAGATAATCGTAGTTTATTTAATTTTTGCTAGGAAATTGTATTTTATTTTCCTTATACTACATTTGTAAAGGCTGTATATTCTATTCTCGCATTGTAGTCGAATGCATCCTAACATAATTATGTAGATGCATTCAGTTCTAGATAAGGAAATGATGTGCCGTTAATAAGGTAGCTGATGTAGTTTTATACTAGATATATATATGTGGAATATAAAGTATATATGTATATATATATATATATATATATATATATATATATATATATATATATATATATATATATAAATATATATACTTTATTTAAAAAATGAAAAGTAAAGATTTTTCGTTGTTTATTATTATTACACCATGGACTTGAGATCTCTAAAAGGAAATAACATCTGCCACTTCTTCTGTCTTCCCTTCATCGGTCTTCTAAAAATCATAATCTCCGTAAAATAGTGAAACGCTCATTGGAATCTTTTCGCAATATTCAAACCAATGCAAAACTCACTGCACTTTTAGCCAACCGCATCAATATTGCGCCCAAGGTATTACGCCAATCTGGGAAATTATCACATTAAACAAATTTTAGTCTCTAAAGGGGTCTCTATAGTTTGACATGTCTCACCTTCCAAAAGATCGGCTTTGAGATCGTGAAATCAAAGAGAGATAAAAATAATAATAAATAAAGCTGCATTATTAACAACCCCACTGGGTTTCTTCGTCTTTAGGGGTTTAGGGATGTATTGTGTAGCCCATGAAGGCATCTTCTTTTCGAGCTGGTAGAAAATTCATGGCGTTCAGTAAAAATAATAATAATTGAATGCTGAATAAAATATATAGAATTTTGAATTTTGTGGTTTAAATAAAATACCGCAAGGCTAAACAAGCTTGTCATATAAAAAATATACATTTGATATTAGTAATGTTTTAGTTTAAGTTAACAACCATTTCTAGTTGTATTGCTTTTAATTTATATGTTCCAGATAAGTGTTTTTAGAAAAAGCGCATGGCATTACAAATCGAGTCGTGATCAATACTATTTGCATCAGTTCGGTCCCGCTCAGCCAGATTTAAACTTTAGAAATCCTGTTGTAGTCGAAGAAATGAAGGTACGTTAAACGTCTTTCTTTTGTAAAGGTCAGTTTTTGCTATAATCAGTTGTGTGCAGAGATTTAGAAATGTTATTTTGTTAGTAAAAAGAATGAGTAAAAGGAAGTTATACCTAACGGTAATATGTATATTGCATGAGTATTGCCAAACTAAATATTAATTTATAACTAATAATGTAAAACTGGTCAGGAAAACATAGATTAAACCTTAATATCTAGAGAGTTGGATAAAGTGAGAATTTGGATTTTATTCAGTTTCATTTATTTTTCATTCAGGTCATTAAAAATGTAATAGGTACTTTGTTAGTTTTAAACGAATATTTGAAATTTTGAGATTTCAAATAAAAGACTGTCAGACTCTCCCGTGAGCATGATTGCTGTAAAACAATGCTGTGTAAAAAAATGCTATAGAAATTACGATTTACTCCTCACTGTCGCATATGTATATAGATGAAAATATATATCAGTTGAAGAAACTTTAATTAGTTAAGGTTTTTGTGTGCAAGCTAAAATATTTAAAAATTAAAAACATGTACGAAAAACAACAAAAAGCGCAAAAATTTCATACGAGGCTCTTCTGTGACGAATGCTTACAATTTACACTGTAGCGTTATTTCATGGAAATTATGTTTCAAAGAAACTTTGACAGTTGTTGTTATATATATTATATTATTTTTAAAACTTTTATGTCAGTATTCTAAAATACTACATTCAAATGCAAACGACCAAATGAAAAAAAAACAAGCGATAACAGCACGTTGTGCAAAGAAATATACTTATTATGCAAATGTGACATAAATAAAGGCGTGTGTTTATAATTTTATACGCAAAAAAAAATCATTCTAATAATCATAAATATTTATTTTAGAACATTCTAAAATATTGGCTAGAAAAAGGGGTAGCTGGTATGAGAATAAATGCTGCAAATCATATTTTTGAAACTGATAAAGATTTATATGGAGGTCGATATCCAGATGAACCCAAGACTGGAAAGCCAGGTCTTGGTCCGGATGACTACGAATATTTAGACCATATTTATACGAAAGACCAAGAGGAAACATATGAATTAATATCTCAATTTCGAGATGTGTTCGATGCTATCACTATTCGAGATAATTTGACTAGGTAAGTACTAAGCTAATATTATAAATGAGTGAGAATCTTAAATATAAAATCTTTCACACAACAAAAGATTGATGTAATTTTGTTACTTTTATAATATTCCAGTATGTTATATGAAGAAAATATAAGTTATTTTCGAAAAAAAGTTTATAAAACATACAATCTAATTAAATAAATGCTACATTAACATTTTGTACAATTAAAATTTGTACATATAAAATATTAATAAGAAATTGATATTATAAAAATATTTATAATACACGGAGTAGATAATCGAAGCCCTGAATCTAACTATTGGTATAATACTTCCAAATATTACGCCTTAATGTGTATTTATTGAAACTACCTATAATTGTTGTACTTTACAGTACAGATTTTTCCTCTATTTGAAAAACAAAGGTTTATTTCTAAGAATTATATACCTATATAGATAAAATACATCTGTTCGGCTTTTTTAAAATCAAAACGTATATTTTATACCACAACAGCCACCGATCAATAAAGTACTAGACACATTCCCATGCAAAAGTTCTCTTAAAACTGTCACCAATTGTGTCTAGGAAATTTTCTTGTTAAAATAAATATACAACAATGAAAATTTGTTATTATTTTTTATATGCTTATTTGTTATATGCTTATAGTTATTTTTGAAAAAAAAAGACACAGTAAATGCACGCTCAAATGTTGAAGTGCGCGCTCATTCGGTGAGGACATTTTTTGTCGCTGATTGTGTACCTAGTACTTTTTTGATCGATGTCAATAGCAATGACATTTAAAAGTAAATAATTCTGTATTTTAAACTCTTACGGTAATTTTTTTATTTGGACAAACAAGCAATGAGATGACGATTACGTCAAAATTTAAGTTAGAACTAAAACAGCTTTATCTAGATAAATGTCTGCACTCATTGTCTTAAAACATAATCTATATAATAAATTATATAAAAATAAACGACAAAAGTATAAACCGTAAAGTCTGGAAACACTGAACATTCGATATAAAATTTTAACTGCATTTTTATTTCTTACCGCTGATGGAGGCCATTACAAAATTAATGACTAGCTTTACCGCAAAATGGCATTTTGTAGAACCGAGGCTTTAAGCTGGTACTATCTCTAGGATAATAACAACAGCCACGTAGTAACTTACATATGTATGTGAAATCTAACAGGGACATTTAAAGCACATTTGTTCAATTTTAAATTATTATTCTTGAATAAAATGCAAAGTCTATACAAAAATTCCAAACTAGGTGACTTTTTTGAAAGTAATCCGTAAAACTAAGTATTGATTTAGGTATAAAACCAAATTATTTTAATGATTGATGAAAGTCTGATATTATGAATGAAAAAGGACCTGTATAAATGGTTTGGGCATGTAGAAAAATGATTTACGAGAGTGTGGGGTAGAAAGATTTATTGCAAAAGAATAGAAAGTGCAATAGAGGAACACCTCTGACGACTATTGGAGACCAAATCTTTCTGATGCTAATCAAACGTCTGTTCTAAAATCTGAGGATCTCCCGATAAGTGTGTACGAACAAAATGATAACAATGGAGGAAGCGAAAGAGATATGTAGAGATTGTTCTCCTTACTTATAAGGAAAGAAGCATGTAGCTGTTGTGTTTTGTTTTAATATTTTGAAGCAGTAATATGTTTTGGACTATGCTGAGAAGGAAAATTCTTTCAAAATTCAAAGTAAATCTAAATATGATAAAGGAGTGTAATTCTTTTTAAACGTATTTACTATTGTTCTCGTTATAACTATTTCTTTAATTTAATTAAAACTGAATTGTAATCTAATTACGCCTCTAATAGTTAACTATTTATAAAAGTTGCTCATATATTATGAGTTCAAGTCACGCACAAGTAATTTTTTTGTTAATGTTGGAAAGTGCATTTACGCATACCACCTGTATACATACAGGTGGTTATGTGGGATTCACTGGCTAGAAAAGTCCGTAGTACCCACTAAAACACAACAGAATCATCCCCGTTTTAATGGGGCGTCGCAGGATCGCTTACGCACTCAACTACGGCGCCCTACCTATAAGTATGCATATATTGACACGTTTAGCTCAGTTTGTAGTGACCCTACTTGCTGTGCCAGCGATCGCGGGTTCGAGTCCCGCTGGGGGCATTCATTTGTGTGATGAGCAAGAATGCTTGTACTCCAGTCATGGGTGTTTACATTTATAAAATATGTATTTATTTAAAGTTATATATGTGTAGTGTATCAACTATCTGGTATCCATAACAGAAGCCTCGTAGCTTACCATGGAACTAGATGGTGCTTTGTGTTAATGTAAAAAAAACCTATATATATGTAGTTGAAAAAAACTCAATCTTAGAGATTACACAGCTCTTTAAATAAAAAAATTAAGGCATCCCCAAATTTCCAGGATAATGATGACAGAAGCCTATACAAGTATTAAGAATGCAGTACGATATTATGGAGAGGGCATTCACTCCGGAGCTCATATCCCCTTAAATTTCGCTCTCATAAAGAACTTGAACAAGGAATCTGATGCACGAGACATCAAATATGCGGTCGATCGATGGCTGACCTACAAACCGCTCCGAAAGCAAGCTAATTGGATGGTAATTGATCTTAAGATTAGTTAAACTATGTCTTGAAAATGACAAGATAATAAAGTTAATGTGTATATATAATAATAATATATTCTACATACATACGACTTTATTTATATTTCTACTTTAAAATTCTAACACTGACTGACTGCCAGACAACAAAGTGCAAGTCGCTGTCTAGAAGAGAATCTTTAGGTTAACAATAGAAAATAGTATTTTTAAACCATCCCTTTAAAATATTATATAGGGGATGAAAATTTGTATAGATTCAGGAATTTTTGAATTAAGAAATATAGATATTGATAATTCATTTTATATTTACATTCGAGATATTTCATCGGGTACAATTCTTGCGAGAGATTATTACGAGAATAAAGAAAAAGCTAGCAACGAATAATTTAATTATTCATATATAATAATTTATGAGAAAAGCTCTTAGATTAGAATTTATAATATTTGCATCTTTTCCGTATATGCTGATCAATAAATAATTTACATACAGTTTCCACATCTTTTTATCTGCTTAAATTTTATTGAATTAAGTGTATTGGATCTGTTTGAAGTATTACTATTGAGTAATACTAAATAATATATATAAAATAACTATGTCTGTCCATTTGTTACCTTATCACATTTAAACAACTGAACAGATTTTGATGAAATTTGCATGGACATACATTTCGTCATGAAAGTAGACATAGACTACCTTTTTCTTAACCTCACTTACCATGTGATGATGGAGCAGTCGAAAATAATTTGTTATATTATGTAAAATACAATAAAGGTACCTCAAACTTACTTAAAAGTAATTATTCCACATTTAATGGTCGATTTTTTTTATTTGCATCGGAAAAGTTATAAAATCGATTTACAATAGGCGAAGATGTCACATAAAAAATCAAAATCGAATATTTCCTCCATTTTTAAGTCGGTCAAAAAGACTTGTATTCCCTGTTATTTTTAGATCGGTAGCCATGACAAAAGTCGCGTAGCGTCTCGCTTCAGGCCAGAATTGGTAGATGCATTCAACATGCTTATTTTGCTGCTGCCAGGGAATGCTATTACTTATATGGTAAGTCTAACTATAGAGATGCCATTACAACTATCACTACTTATTATAAATGAAAAATTGCTCGTTAAGGTCAATCTAAAAAAGTATCATACGGTTTTCACCACCATAAAGAGGGACCATCTAGGAAGGTTATTTATACTAATATTATATAGCGCTAAAGTTTGTGAGTTTTTGACGTTGTAGGGGGTAATCTAAGGATCTACTGAACCGATTTAGATGAAATTTGGTAAGAAGATAGTTTGAGACCCTGGAAAGGACATAGGATACTTTTTATTCTGGAAATCATTGTGTGGATTACACACCCTTAAGTGGATGAAAATGGGGATGAAAGTTTGTATGGGAAATAAACCTAGGAACGAACCCGAGCGAAGCGAGAGTTAGTCGCTAGTAGGATATAATTTACGAGCATTTTGTGAAAATAGGCTTCCAGTACGATGATAACTGTGAATTTAGTAGGAAAATTTTATCCTTTCTGAGAGCTTCCGTATAATTATAAATGTGAAGGGATGTAAGCCGAATAGAGATGTATCCGATCAAAGTGTGGGTCTTTAGTATTTAAATAGACTAATGTTCGTCCAGTAATGGTAACCATAATCATTATTTAAAATTTGAGAAAAACATATTTGAATAGTCTTCAAAAACGTTTTATTGATAGCACAAAAGCTTGTCAATTGCTACTAAAGAAAAAAAAAGAAAATTGGTTGACAAACAGAGAAGAAAAAGGTAATGAGCAGTTTTGTCTTTTCCTGTTTATAATATATATGTATACATTACACTTCGTTCGTATAGTATATATATATATATATATTCTATAATGTCACTTTATCTATAATATCTTAGGTTAATTAAAATGGATATATTTAGCTACATAGATCTGACTGAAGTTGACAAGCGTGGGAGATTTCGGTCTTTCTGAATTATATATTTCGTTTTTAATATATATAATTAATTTAATAAAATAGACATTGATTGAATGCTTTTGTGAGTAATATCTTATATATTTTTTATATATAGCTTTACAGTATTTCTAATAATCAGAGAGAGCATAATGTAATTACTTATTGAATTTATATTGTACTAGCGACTCAACGTCGGTCCGCTGGTGTTTTCGTTTTAACGTTAAGTATAGATTTCTCAGAAATGAGATATTTTCTCGAAGGAAAAAGTATCCTAAATCTTGAGCTGGATAACCAGCTTTCATCATACCATATTTCATCTAAATCTATCAAGTGGTTTTCTGGTGATGCGCTCCCAGACAGACAGACAAAACTTCTAAAATGTGTGTGTGTGTATGTTTCTTACTTCTTCAATCGCTACGTACCATATTAGCAAAGTATATACCCATACAGTTTAAGGTTGTGCTATTTCCATAAATCTTACAGTCATGCATATTATATGCTAATTTTTACTTTTCCTTTCACTACAATTTAAAATCTTTTGACATGATCTAATTGTAAAGGGCGAGGAGATAGGAATGGTGAACGGGTTCGTACCGTGGAGTGAGACGAAGGACCCTGTAGCGTGCAACACGGACGACCCTATTAATTTCGTCGACGTCTCTCGTGACCCCGTAAGAACTCCCTTCCAGTGGAACAGTGGAAAGAACGCAGGTATAAATCAACTTATACTTTTGATTCAAAATGAGGTAGCTTTTGTGTTATTTTTATTTAACTGTCAAAGAAAGATAGTCGTGCTTTTCGAGTATATTTTTGCGTGTTTTATATACCTACTAGCGATTCACCCTCACTCCGCTCGGGTTCGTCCCTACTTACGTTTTAACGTTTAGTTTAGATTTCTCAAATATGAGATATTATCCCGCAGTAAAAAGTATCCTATATGTTGAACCGGATAATCAGCTATCATCATACTAAATTTCATCAAAATCCGTCCAGTGGTTTTTCCGTGATGCGGTAACAGACATACAGCCAGACAGACAGACAAATATTCTAAAAACTATAGATTCGGCCTCTACATCGATAATAAGGTCTATTTCATTAAGATTTTCCAAAAAATATTTAATGTACAGATTCGGCTTCATTGCAATTTTTTTATATGTATAGATTGGTTGAAAAAGCAAACTGTTCTACAGTTCACATAATTATAGCTATCATTGAATTCGTTTTAATTATGACAGTCGCTTAAGGTACAGATTATATTGTTTAAATATAGTATTTGCAAATTTGACAATGTCACATTTTAACGTTATTCTGCCATGGAATAAATATAATAAAGAATTATTATCTAAGTTGCTATTCAAGCTGGATAAATATGAAATTATTGCATTCTAATACATATCTAAATATATTACAATTCTTCTATGCCGATGGTATTAGTGATGATTTCATTAAGGATTTACAATACTGACATCTACGAGTAATTTAAATGTTAGAACCAACGTACGCCTCCGTGGTTAGTTTCCGGGAAATTAATTACTACCATGCCGGCGTGTTCGCGACCGTTGAAGCGTAAAAAGTTCTTGTAAAAGTCAATTTGAATAAAGTATATACTCGTACATACGGATATTAGAATTTGAATATTTTCCCAGTGTTGTAAAACATAGTGTTGTTAAGAAGCGCGAAAATTCCAAGTGAATCGTTTTAGAAATTTGTGGAAACTAAACGAGGCAGTTATTTTATCTGCCAACTCAAGAAGAAAAATATAAAATATGTAGAATAGAATATTTGCTAAAAAGGAATTGAATTGAAATACAAATTTGTTTTTTTTTTTAACTAAAAATTGATTTTTCTATTTAAATAAACTATAAATTTTAACCTTATATATGAATATTACAGGATTTTCCCAAGCATCTAAAACCTGGCTTCCCATAGCTGATGGTTTCGAACACTTAAACGTGGCGAAGCAGCGATCGGCCGTACGATCTCATTTCCAAGTGTACCGCAGTTTGACGAGCCTTCGTTTACGTCCAGCGTTTCGACTTGGTCGATATGAATCTTTCGCTCTGAATAACGATGTTTTTGCTTTTAAAAGGTAATATACATTATTACTTTATATAATTTAAATAGTTTGTTTTAATACATTGTAACTGAAATGAAACTATATTTTCAAGTCAATATATAGTTTTTGACACTAACAAATAGTATATAGACTTTTAATACGTCTAAATCCTTCGTAGCTCTCATAACCATGTGTCTCATGACAAAATCTGAAAACGTAATTTCATTTTAAATCTCAACAAATGCGAATATCTGACATTTTAAAATTTTAAAAATCTTATCAAACAAGAAAATGTGAATATAAGATGAAAACCTTGCACTACTTTCAGTCTAGATCAATATTTGTGACTCCAATGTTGCTCTATACAATATTGGTAAAAATAACGAATTAGGCTTCATTATTTACTCGATTAATTTAACCTACTCGTAAGTAAAACCAAAACAGATAAAAACTGTTGGTTTTTTATTGGTTCGTACGCGCTTATACCGATTTGTAATATTATTGATTATTTATGCATTTCATCTATCGTTATTAATATATCGCATGCTTTTGTAATGGAACCATCAAACATGAATAAGTTACCCGAGCGGAGCCGCCGGAAAACTCTAATATATTATCCAATTACTAGCGACTCACCCCTACAAACTTTTATCCCCATTTTCACCCCTTTAAGGGATAATTTCCGGGAAAAAACTAGCCTATGTCATTTTCAGGGTCTCAATCTGTCTTCTTACCAAATTTCATCTAAATCAGTTCAGTAATTTCGGAGACTATTGGGTACAAACAAACAAACAAAAAATCAAATCTTTCCTCTTTGTAATATTAGTATAGATAAAAATATGGTGATCAACTCATATTTAATGATCACTAAGGAAAGTAGTAGTAAATACATAATAAAATTCCAGGTGGTATAACGATGACGCCTACATTGTCGTTATGAATGTCGGCAAAACTTATCAAGATGTCAATCTGACAGCATTCGACTTGATATTTGGACAGTTGGAGGTGGAAATCAGTAGTGTGCTTTCATCAAGGACTTATGGGTATAATTATTAATATTTATTGTATAACAGCTTACAAAGTTCACGGGTTCGATTCCTTTGTAGGCAAAAGAAGCGTTTATAAGTAAAATAAAAAGATGGTTAAAGTTTAACTTTTATGTATATATGTATTTGGGGTACTCGCTATTTCTAGCATGTGTAATTGTAAGTTCATAGCTTTATCAGTTTTATTTGAGTACTCGCGAAGATTTGAAATCTAGACGATGTCTTTAGACCTTATTGGATTTAAATAAATATAGCTCAAAGTTGATATTTCGGCTAATACATCAAGTAAAACTCTATTAAAACTTATCTGGCTATTTTCGAGAGATCAAACTAAAATTCTCAGAATTGGTAGCTTTTCCTTCATTTCATATAAAACAACACTCAAATACAAAATTTTGTAATAAATAAATATTAAATTACCAAAGATTTGATTGATTGAAGAAAGAAGAAAAACATCACGAGGGCATGTTTAAGAGAAAGTAATTAGTTTTCGAAAGACGTGCTTCGTCCGTAAGCCCGCACTTCTGCGATAGCATTGATCATCATGTGATGGTCATATGCATTTAATTCTTGCGACAAAAATGACCAGCTCACTGCCACTTCTTTTCCAGCTTGCAAATACTTATAATTACATTACATGATAATAACACCTCCAGGTAAATTTCTAAGAAATTAATTAAATTTCTAAGAAATCTATTGTTAACTGTAACGCCGGCGTGTCCGCGGTCGTGGAGTGATTAATAATAATATTTTTTTCATTTTCAGTGACAATGTCCAAGCAAACTACTTAGATTTAGCTGCAGACGAAGCACTAGTATTAAGGATGCAGGTGTAAAATGTTTCAAGTCCAAATAGTAATAAATTAAATTGTTTTACGGGAACGTCTCTTTTCTTTTAATATAAAAAAAATAACAAATGTGAACCGTCAAATGTCAAGAAATAAGTTATCAGAATGTCATTTAGGCAACAAAAAACCCATATTTTTTTATTCTATTCATATAATATGTTTATGTCGAATTTCGATCATTGAGCGAACTAGCCGGATTGAGCACTGCCTTATTTTTGAAATCGTTCAAATATTGGTATATAGTACTTTACGACTTAAATATTTTGCAATGTTTAAAAAATTAACTCCTACACTACACCTACCTAAACAAAAACATCCTTTGCATTATTAAATCGTAGAGTATGTACGTATCAGTAGTACCTAATGCAAACATGGAATTTTGTTAACACTTCTTGGGCGAAAATTACAAGTGCAATCGAGAAATGAAATGGAAATGCAAAATATCTTTAAGCAGTGGTTTTATGATTGAAGTGTTATTTGTTTGATAAATAATAGAACAAACATTACATTGGCCATTCAAGATAACTTGGAAAAAATTAGGACTGTCTTGTTCAGAGAGTTATTCTCGTTTTTTATATTTCATATCTTGTCATGATGGGGGAGACGAGGGGGAGGGGCTCATTAGCGTCCGGCAATCTGGCCGGGCGCGAAGACAAGAAACGCATTGGGTGGCGGACTACCTGGGCGGTGTACCATGCGGGTTGCTCCTGATACTTCTTTGATAGCAGAGTAGACCATCTCCATTGTTATTGTGTTGTAGTTGAGTGCGTAAGCGATACTGCGAGGGCCTATTAAGACGGGGCAGGTTCCGTTGGATTTTAGTGGGTAGTACTGGTTTTGCGGGTGAGGTCCCACATAATCAACTGTATGTATGCAGGTATTCAGCCTAAATGCATTTCCCAACGTTACAAAAAGGGACCAATCCTGATCACCGACTCAAGAGACTACACGATCAGGAAATGTTTCATTTAGAAATGCGACAAATGCGCTAAGAAAAGTATATCTAGTTGTTGGTTCTAATATGGTATATGTACATAGCCGACAAACAGATACCACTTAATAACATGTAAAAATGTATATTTTTCATGACCATGAAGCTCTTTGAAGAATTTCTTATTTTAAAACTTCCTAACTACACAGCTTATCATAATTTTTAGTTATTACTATGCTATTGTGGTGCAAAAATAAATAAATAAAATTATTACGATGCTTGTGGGACTTTCATATATAACTTTTTTTATAACATACTAGTGACTCTGTCTCGCTTCGCTCGGGTTCGTCGTATCTTATATATACATATTATGTAGGTATAATATAAACAGTTCTGAACTTTTTGATTTTCCAGCTTTGTTTAGGGTTTTCCTTATTTTTTATACTTAAACCACCCCTAAAACACCCACAACAAAACAAAAAATATCCAAATTAGTTTTTGACTTTTAGCGAGACCACAAAAACATAAAAAAAATCTTTACGTACTTAAAATCACGCAATATTACGAATTATGATATTATTCTTCATTATATATTATACCACTTGAGTAACACCTTCACTTGAAAGTTGACTTGATAAATAAAAGTATAAGGCACATATTTCTACCACGTGTACTCGTATATGTAATCATATATATAATGTAAGTGGTAAGATGACATTGTTTGTTTGTCTATCAATATTTCGTAATCATTTGTAATGATCTAAAACACCTATGTATAAATCAATCACCGTCGCAGTATTTTAAATGCTTAACACGTTATCTAAGACCATTGAAAGATAAGAGTTGTTTTAAATATAAGGCATATGGGATTTGATTGTATACACAGTTCTGATTTAGTAGACGAAAACTTTACCAAAATGAAGGTAGTTTTGATACTGCCGATTTTAGTGATCCTCTGTTCTGGAAATATAATCAGGCAAAATGATGAAAAGAAATCGGAGTGGTGGGAAAGGAGCATAATTTACCAAATCTATCCAAGATCGTTTGTGGACAGCGATGGCGATGGGGTAGGAGATTTAAAAGGTATTTGAACTTCTTTTATTACATATAACTTTTAAAAATGTATTTGTACGTAATACTAATAATGTTCAAATGTATCTACAAATATGAAGGGAAGCGTCCACCTTATTGTTTTATATTTAAATACCTTGTATATAAAATATATAAATCTTTGCGGGCCTCGTATGACTAGTAAATCGTGGAATCGTACCGACGAACATACATATATTATAAGTGTATAACATGTATATTGTATTACATATTATAGTCTCTTGTAAGTAGAGGATGATATTAAAAAAATAATTTAAAAAACACTTTAATGACTTATGGCTTATACAAATTGACGTTATTTTCGTTTTTTAATATGTACTTGTGATAATAAAAAAATATATAATTCATTGAGCAAATCATTTTACCAGGCATAACTTCAAAGTTGGAATACATCAAAGAAATTGGTGCTGGCGCAATATGGCTTTCTCCTATATTTCAATCTCCTATGTATGATTTTGGATACGATATTGCTGACTTTTACGCGATTCATGATGAATATGGAACAATGGAAGACTTTGAAGAGCTTCTTGGCAAAGCTAAAAAACTCGGTAGGAACTATTTTGTATAGACTATATCATTTTCCATTATTATTATATATGTGAAAGTTGATTTTACGAACTAATTTCATAATAATTTACATTAAAACAAGCCAACTTTTAGCACGTCCAGAAATAAATTATATAAACAATTCAAAAAAAAAAGTTTATATAAGATCTATTCATTAAAAAAATTATGAAAATCAAGTCACTATCAGCAAACATATCATTTAGGATATCAAAAAAAAAACAAAAACAAATTGACTTTGTCGAAGTACCTAAGTAAAGTAGAAAACCTGTTTTTACTTCAAAATTTTAGTCCTATTACTAAAATATAGTCTTAATTTTAATAGTATTTTTAAAAAAAGGATAAAACATTTTTATAAAAACTTACATTTATTTGAAAACTGCGGAGACAAGTATAATCTGGATTTATAATATTTGTAATGGAAAGGTCAGAGGATAATATTATAAAATCCATTAGGATTTATAAATTGTTATCTTCGCCATTTTTGTAGACAATTCATTTAACAATGGTCGATTTCAATTGTAATTTTAAGAGATTTTAATAATAGTTACGTTTAATAATAGATAATACAAGTGAAAGTGATCAAGAGGAGAATAAATATAAAAATACATTTAGTTTTGGTAAATTAACTGAGTTTGACGAATTTCTTAAGTAATCCAATGACGTTATCTTTCCAGATATCAAAGTTGTACTAGATCTTGTGCCCAATCACTCATCAAATGAAAGCGTATGGTTTCAAGAAGCTCTTAAGGGTAATGAAAAGTACCTAAATTACTTCGTTTGGGAAGATGGGGTCATAGATGAAGAAGGCAATATGCAACCACCAAATAATTGGGTTTGTGTTTTACCTACATATTTAACTCGTAGAAGGTGCCCTTACGAAACTATTATTTCTAGGCAGGACATTCTGTCCGCCTCCCCGCCCAGCGACGCTGTCAAGGCTAGTAGGGCAAACAGCACTCAACATTCCGAAATAAAAGTTATCTACATATATTTGAAATAAAATATTATATAAATTATTTAAATTTATCGTTATTATATATAGTATTAAAATTTTTTAGCTCAGCCATTTCCGAGGAAGTGCTTGGGAGTACAGAGAAGAAGTTGGAAAATATTATTTACATCAATTCGTCATCGGTCAGCCTGATTTGAACTACCGTAATCCTGATGTTGTCAATGAAATGAAAGTTAGTTTTAAAATTTGTGTTGATTCTATTTGTTTTTATTGCGAATTGAAGAAAAAATATAAGTCATATATAACAAACAATAGCAAATTTATCACGTTATGATTGTTTATACCTATATATAGTAAATTAATCTATTTTTGCCGAGCAACAAGTAATCCTAAGTATTATTCAGAAATGTTCCTGTTTAAAAAGATAAAAATTAGATATTTTCCAAATTTTGCAGAATATAATACGGTTTTGGCTTGAAAAAGGCGTAGCCGGCTTCAGGGTTGATGCTGTTAACAGTCTGTTCGAAGTCGATAAAAATCTTTTTGGTGGCAAATATCCAGATGAACCGCCTTCTGGAAGAACTGATGTTGATGCTGGATCATTTGATTCTTTGGCGCATATTTATACAAAAGATCAAAATGAGACTTATTATGTGGTATATGATTGGAGAGATGTCTGTGATGAATATGCTAAAAAAGATGGTCTAACTAGAGTTATGATGACTGAAGTATATGCGACTATACAAAACGTGGTAAAGTATTTTGGTGAAGGTGACAGGAATGGTGCTCAGATGCCGTTTAATTTTAATTTGATTACGGATGCCGATGCTTCGTCTAGTGCAGCTGATATAAAGAGAGCAGTTGACAAGTTTTTGACTTACAAGCCTCTTGACAAACATGCTAATTGGGTGGTACGTAAAATACTATTATAAAATTTAGTATTTTAAATTTTTATTATGTAATATTTGTCTGCTTGCGTATCCTAATGATTGAAAGAGATTTATTTTTAAATAAAAAAACAATCACAAATGAAAATGTAAAAATCAAATATTTCATATTTTTGTATATGATACGTAATAGTTACTTATTTTCTAAATTTTTCAGGTTGGTAACCATGATAACAGCAGAATGGCTACTCGTTATAGTCCTTCCCTAGTTGACGGGATTAATATGATTGTTTTATTACTTCCTGGCGTTGGAGTTACATATATGGTAATATAATATAATAAACAATATTACATACATTTTCATAAGCAATCAATTTAAAAATGTAGTTGAATCTTACTTGAAGTTAATTTTTATATTAAATTGACCATTTCTGGTATGTTCAGTAGTAGTCACTACTCACTATGTTATATGCATGTATACTTTTAACATATATTTTTTTATATTTCAGGGCGAGGAACTAGGAATGGTCGACGGGTATGTAAGCTGGGAAGATACTGTTGATCCATCTGGGTGTAACACAAATGATCCTATTAATTATGCAAGTGCATCAAGAGATCCCCAACGTACACCGTTCCAGTGGAATTCAAAAAAGAATGCTGGTATAAGCCCCAAGTTTTAATTTACTACACTTCTGTATGAATAAGTATGATGAAGGTGGCTTACTGCCTTGGTAGTTTGATTTTCTTTTACGCAACATTGGGTCAATGTGATTAGTAGTACCTAAATAAAAATAATTTATGGACCATATAATGGTCTGAGCTAGTTTATCTTAGTACAATAAGTAGTTCTACTATATGTGAAACACTATGAGAATCTGTATCTCTGGCCGTTTTCATTAACAAAATTGCTTCATATAAATACTATTGTCTCATATTTACTCATATTTATTTAAGTCAACAGAATGTTTTGATTTCTCATTGTTTGTATCTTAATTTTGTAGGATTTTCCACTGCTAATAAAACGTGGTTGCCAGTCGCTGAGGGTTATGAGACATTGAATGTAGAAGTTCAGAGAGCAGCAAATAGGTCTCACTTGAAAGTTTACCAAGCCTTGACTCGCCTTCGGCAACAAAAGGTGTTTAGATACGGAAGATACGAATCGTTGGCAATTAATAAGGATGTGTTTGTTTTTAGAAGGTAGGTTGTCATACAAATATTATTCTTATTATTTATTTCTATTTTTATTATATTTACAGAAATTAATTAGTTTAAGAAAAGTAAATTAAATATCAGTAAGCATGATATTTATTTTGTTTATACAATATTATATAATTTTTATTAAACTATACAAGGCTTTTAATGCTCAATATTGAATATTGATATTTGAGTTTGGCGCTTGTTACGAAAAGATAAATAATAGAATTTCTTAAATAAATACACTAAAAACTAAAGAAGTAACATTTAATGTATCTTTTGTGTTTATTTTAAAGGAAAAAGTAGATAAATAAAAATCTTGTAATTAATTTGATTATGCCTTTTGTCAATTTACGTATACAAATAAATAAAAAAAAATTAACTAGCGATAGACTGCTCCGCCCGTGCTTTTTACGTAGGTATAATAACTCCGCCATTAAATGTTAGACAACTTAACTTGTGAACCTTCCATAACAAATAGGCTATAAATACAAACAGAATTTTCAAATCTGATTCGTTCTAGAGATTTGTGCGTGCAAACAAACAAAAACAATTTAAACAAAGATCTATTAGTTAGAATGTGACATATTTTTTGTTGGGAATTTATAGATATTGTATAGTGATACTTTCATGGTGTCTTCATCTATTCAATACGAAACAAATAAATATATAATTATAGAACGTATTTTACAGATGGTATAAAGGAGAAATCTATTTAGTATTGATTAATATGCGAGATGTGGAATATATCGTGGATTTGACGTATTTCGAGAATGTCAACGGTAGAGCTCGCGTGGTTGTTAGAAGCATTCAATCTCCTAAGGATGAAGGGTAACTAACTATATGTAGTTAAATATTTTTATTTCTCGATTTTTTGTATCTATATTATAAAACATAGGTTGTGCCGAGTTGAAAATTACACAAAACACACTTAAAAAGCCAGATTGTAACAAAAGAGATATAAATTATATTATGAACAATGTAAATATTTGTTTTGAGCGGAAATCGAAGCCGCGGCCTCTGATACAGATACGATATTTACGCCAAGACTGCGCCAGATTTATGTTTTTTTTTTACGTGACAATTTTGCTAAGGTAGTGTTATTATATACTAAATATCAGATAATGAATATTAGCATTTTATGGTGCTGCCATTTAAACGCACGGAATCTGTATAATGGTCTAAAGGTCACTGAAATTTTTAAATCAAGAAAAATAATTAAAGTTTTATTAATATTTCTAAATATAAATTCCAATTAAGGAAAAAAGCTGCCAAAGAAATATTTCTGTTTCAGTTACTAAGATACAATAGATTAAGCTTGCATTAAAAAATATCACTAAATCTATTCCTTTTAAATTTATTTTATAAAATAATTATTTTAATATTGAATCTTTTTTTTTCATTTTATTTGCAGTGAGGTGGTTGATGTATCAAATCTTCCTGTGGCAGGATACGAAAGCGTTGTTTTAAAATTATTGTAAATAAGAGTAATGGTTTTTTTTATATTGTATTGATAACGAAATATAATAAACTACGTGGTTAAAGGCAATATTTTTTTTATTTATGACTTTTGATTAAATAGATACCTAAACCTATTGTTATAATAACATAAATTCTAAGCAAAAACTCTGAAATTTTACTTTAATACACAATACTAGTTTAGTAGACCGATCAGAATTCGTTTATTTTTAAGAGAAAAAAAAATTAACCTGAAGTTTTATGTTTTTAAAACTTTGGCAGGTGTATAAGGAACAAAAATTCGTAAAATAACCCCCATGTCTAGCTACCCTCTAGAAACGTGGGGATGAAAAAAGTTTGAGAATAGTTTTTTGTTTTCAATTTTCGGCTTACTATAAAAAACCTATAACTTTTATAGATTACACTTTTTCAATTTTAACAAAACAACCTTAAAGTTTTCGAGATATTTGCAAAAAAAAACCTATTTTAATTTTTTCTTGATTTTCATTTTTAATTTCTACAATATTTTTTTTATCTTCATGAAACTTTAAAAATATAATCTAATACTATACATATGATACGAACTGGATAGCATGTTATTCAGCTTTAATTTGATCTATTCTTCATCTCTTTATGTCAATTTTTTCCTGAGATATTCGACTTTCAATTACAAAGGATCCTTTTCTCTTTAATCATTAGTATATGAGCAATTAATGGATGCACAGTAGATTAAAGGATAGTTTGAAAAAATTGAATAAATTTCCTACAAGGATCATAGTTTAAAAAAAAAATACTGTAGTACAACTATGACTACACTTTGTAAATATCAACTTATTTTTTAAATGTTATTTTTTTTTGAATAATGAATAAACAAGACGAGACTATGAACAAATTCGATTTCTTTCTGTTATTACCTAAAAATATAATTTTTCAGAAAAAAAAACAAAAAATTTAACTCCAAAATCTATCAAAAATTAATGAAATCTCGATAAATTCGAAAAAGTCATAAATAACAAATCACAAAGATAACAAAATAAATTCTAAACGAAAAATTACAAAAGAACAAATATTGTTTACGTGACTTCCAATTTTTTTTAATGTTTCACGACTCGTCAAATTGCAAAGTGAAATATTTACAGCTACATTGTATAAATAAGCGTCAAATGAAAAAAATTGAGTACAGTATTTTTTCGTTTTTTAACCGCAAAATACATGGGTGTAATCAGTTTATTAAAATTTGCTCAAAAAAGTACACTTTTACACGAATATTTTACAAAAAAGTGTAGTTTGCAAAAAAAAAATATCGTCTAATTTTTTTTAAGACGGTTAACCATTTTGGTGTAGTGTAGTGGTGGAATAACCAACCAACACTAATTAAAAAAAATAAAATTTGTTTCAGTAGGTACCTAATCATATTATATTATAATATTTAGTATATATTCCCTCTAGCACTTTATCTTTATCAACTTTATCACTTATTGATCGCACCTAGGTCGTCTAAAAATTTCTTCTCATTTACAATTTTTTTACATCTTGTGATACTATGTCTTCATTGCTGCACGTCAGTTAAGGTTAGCTGATTCATTTTTCTTTAGAAATATTTAAGTATTATTTGTCGCATAAATTATTTAAGTCTTATTTTTTAATTTAAATTAGGCAATAGCGTACTAAAATCATTTGATCTATTGAAATATCTTTTAAAAGTTATGTCACTCGTTGATATAAATATGCAAGGAGAAATCAACAAACACACGTCCGCACTAACATAACATATCAATAGTTAATCTTTTCATGTAATTTTAAACCTATCTATAAGTTTTAAGCTTTCGGGGTGATATTTAGCAAGTGGTCATGGTTTTACTATACCTATTGTAAGTGCCAAAATATCAGGACTAACATAGTAAATATCCTGTTCCACATCATAAAAATAACTTGTAATAATAAAGTTTCAATTCAATTTTTTTTTTGTGACATGGTACCGGTTGGGCGCAATTTATAATGTAAAAAATACAAATTTCATGTAAAATTTACTACATTTTACATGAAATTTGTATTGAGTGTAGTTTCACTTTATTAGCCTTAATTACCTATAGATATCAATACAAATTAGTATTTATTTTAAAATATACAAAAAATATATAATCTTTAAATAAATAAAATGCTACAACGATTTTGAAATCTCTCGAGAGAAATAAAACTATCTTTTCGGATTTTTCGCGAATTTATTTTGATTTTTGGTTAACAAAAACATTTTTTTGCCAGGTTTTTTGGGGAACCAAAAATCAAAATAAATTCGCGAAAAAATTCGAAAAGATAGTTTTATTTAAAATTTCAAATATTCGCGTAAATCTAAGAAAGTATTATCTCTCAAGAGGTCCAACTTTAAGGGCTATAAAATAAAACAGTTCACAATTGCCTAAGATATTGTGAAAAATTACTAAAAACGAATTAAAATAACGCGTCTTAGATTTACGTGAATATTTAACATGCTATCTTTTTGTATTTTTTCACGGATTTGTAGCGTTTTTAGTACCCGACGAGAGTCTCTTCCGTGACCACGATTGCTGTAAAGCATTCGAAACGTCAGGAACTAAAAGTCAAAATTAATCCACAAAAAAACCCGAATCGACAATTTTATTCAAAATACCTCCTACATTTTGAAATAGGGTCTAAAAAGTTTGGAAGTTCAACACGACAGCCTCATTTAACAAATAGTTTAGAACTACATCTAATGACAGTGCATAACTTTTCAAATGCAAACCGACATACTGTATAAACTTTGTTAACCCGGGTTAAAAAAATGCCTTTGAAAAGCTGATTGCATTAAATAAAACTTATGTTAAATTACTATTATGATTATGTTTTTATTTATGTTAGATTCTCTTCATTTATTTAAGACAATTTCAATCTGGCCGACCTTTCAATATGACCCCACTTACGAACATATACGTGCCAAGGCCCGGCGAAAAAGTAGTAGTACATATACTCGTCTTAATGTTTAAAACAAACCATGAAAGAATGAATGTACCTAGAACATAATATAATTTAGTGTTGCTTTTTATTGTACCGTTGTTAGATAAAAAGTAAAACTAAATTTACTAATTTTGTAATATCTATCTATCTGTCTTTACTAAAAGGTAAGTCAGACTAGGTTAAGGTAATGTTACAAAACTAGCAAACCGGTTTAACTAGCTCAGTATTACAAAAACTGTATCTGAATCACACCTCAGTTTGGCAATTATTGCAGACAAACAGACACACAAAGGAGTAATATTTATAAATCTTTTTTTGCTTCTGAGTTCAAAATTTTTTAAATAAAGACTTACCAACTCGTAAACTATTAGTATTGCGTGGAGGTCAATGAAAAAGTTGGGAAGTAAACTTTCATACTTCTTTTATAATCAAACTTAATAACAATGAAGCTCTAAGCCATTGAATCGATTTTCTTTCCTTCAGAGCAAAAAGAAATATCAATCTGTTTTATGAAGCCATCTTTTGCTATTGTTGGGCTCACAATACTTCTCGGACTTTAAGATTATTTTAGCCAAGATATTATTTAAACAAAAAGTTATTAATAGCATCTAGGTTACTTTACAATTACTTTATAATTAAAATGGTATATCGATTTCAAAATTATTTCAAATGTAATTTATCCTCCCTTAGGGTGGAATTTATTCATAAATTTTAATAAAATTACCCTTGAAGCGCTAATAATCATCCAAATTGTTAACAATTTTAGAAGATAATGCGTAACTAACATGTCTATATATAAATACACAAAGACAAATCAGTACAGCGACTTTTTTCTTCCGTTTGTGAACAGATTTTCTTTTTTTTTTGCTTAGTAGTTTTTGACGAGCTTTGTAAACAGTTTTTTTAATTCCTTTCGTATATATGTTTTCCTCAAATTTTCAATAATGATTAGGGGCGAATTTCGATCACTGGGCGAACACTAGTACAAAAAACTACCCGAATTGAGTACCTCCTTTTTTTTGAAATCGTTCAAAAACTAGAACTCAACTCAACGACTTAGATATCGTGTTTTATAACACTTCTCCACTAATAAATATTTTGCATTAAAATTTAGTAAAATTTAATTCCGTATGAACCGACACAAAAACACACTTTTGCATAATTAAATCATAGAATAATTATTATTTAAAAGTGTACACGTATTAGTTAGTACTTGAATTTTATTAACACTCCTTGGGGGAACATACAAGTGTTATCGAGATATGAAATTGAAATGCAAGGTATCTTGAAGAAGTTGTTTTTTGATTGAAGTGTTATTTGTTTGTTATATAATAGAACAAACACTACATTGGCCACTCGAGATAACTTGGAAATAAGATAACCGCTGTGATATTAGATTGAGAAAGTCATCTCACACCAACGAAGTTTTATCATTTTTTTTTATAAATGCGATATTTCTTACAAAATTCGATCTTTTTTGTTTACTCTAGATATGATACTGTTAAGCAGTTAAATTATACATTCTAACCACTCTGAATAACGAACAACCTACATTTGAACCTACGTCTGAATTTCTTTATTGATTGTATGATATTAAAATTAATAAATCCCAAATTATCCAATATGGCTCACTCACATATGATTTTCACTATTTTTTTTACCCGTAACTTCGCTCGTGTCATTGATTTGGCAATAAAAAGTATCTTTTTTTTTTATTTTTTTACTTTTTTTTGTGTCGGGAAATGCGTATACGCATGGTGGTGATGTGGGGCTCACCTATTCAGAATTTTAACCAAATCCATTTAGATGTTGTAGCGTAAAAAAGTAAGTAATAAATACATATTCATTCCCTCACTTAAAACTTTTAGCAAATTTTGTAACAATAATAGGATTACTGCAATATTAGATTATTTCAAATTTTCCTCTGTGGCGGATATGTGACTTATGATGTGTATTATAGGTTGAGTGGTCGAGCGATCGAAGGTTTTCATCTTGACCCCGAAACCCCTATAGATTAACACTGGTCTCCCCTGACTCATCATTCATCTCATTAGATGGAGAAGGAGAGTTCATGAGCGTCCGGTAGCTTAGCTGGGCGCGAAGCCAAGAAACGCATTGGGAGGTCGCCCACTTCGGTGGGCGGTGTTCGGGTTGCTCCTAGTAAATCTCTGATGGCAGAGAGGGCCGTGGGAGCAACTCCATGATTGTTGTGGTCTGCTTCGGCAGACCTGCTGTTGGGGCTAACTATCCTGCAACGACCCATTAAGACGGTGGAACATGAATATTATTAATATTCAGATGCCGCTCGAAAAGGTCTAAGTTACTCTACTCGAAAACCTAAGCAAAAATCTTGAGCGACCTTCAAATATTAACATATCGACTTGAAAACTTCAGAATCCTAATTATTCGTATAGTAGAAAATAGTGTAATAACGAAAGAAAAAAAAACGAAAAAAAACGATTTTTAACTATTTTTGAAATTTTTAAAAAAATTCAGTGACCTCTTAAGCTATTTTTTTGAACTGCGCTTTGGAAGGCGCTCTTAAAACATGATAAAAATATATTTTCGTTAGAAACTCGAAGAAAAAATATACACATAGCTACAAAAGAAATAATTCTGAACTTTTCGATTTAAGCTGTTTTTTTGGGTTTTTCATATTTTTTTACAAGTATACTTAAACCACCCCTTTTTTTTTTTTTAACGTTGGGAAATGCATTTACGCACGACGTGTGGGACTCACCGGCGTAATACAGTCCGTAAACCACCCCTGACACACTCCCCACAAAACAAAAAAAAAAGAATTACCCAAATTGGTCCAGCCGTTTCTGAGTTTTAGCGAGACAAACGATCGGAAATTGATTTATATATAGATAGAAGCCCATTGTATATATTTTATATTTAATTTTATCCAAATCTGTCTAGCATTTTCAGCGTGAAGGAGTAATAACAACACAAAAACATCCAAATAATCTTTCATATTTAAAATCACTCAATATGACGAATTACGATATTATTCGTCGAACATATCACTTGAGTAATATGTTCACTTACTGATATATGACCTGATAAATAAACATATGAGATACATATTTCTACCGTGTATATATGTAAGTAATCATATATATGTAAGTGGTAAGATGTCATCTTACCACTTACATATATATGATTTTTTTTTGTTCGTTTGTCTATCAATATTTTGTAATCATTTGTATTGATCTAAAACACCTATGTATAAAACAAGCACAGTCGCAGTATTTTCATTACTTAACACGCTATCTAAAATCATTGAAAGATAAGAGATGTTTTAAATAAAAGACATATGGGATTTCATTGTAGACACCGTTCTGATTTAGTAGACGAAAACTTTGGTAAAATGAAGGTGGTTTTAATACTGCCGATTTTAGTGATCCTCTGTTCGGGAAATATAATCAGGCAAAATGATGAAAGGAAATTGGAGTGGTGGGAAACGAGCATAATTTACCAAATCTATCCAAGATCGTTTGTGGACAGCGATGGCGATGGGGTAGGAGATCTAAAAGGTATTTACACTTCTTTTATTACGTTAAATAACTTTTAAACAGTTTTAAAGCTAGAATAACATACGAGTATGTATAAATAGCGAGGCTATTGATAGCCAATCATTTCGGTATTTATATGTACGTAACTCTATGTAAATTATAATATTTCTGGAGGTTTACTAATTATTTTCAAATATGTCTACGAATATGAAGGGCAGAGTCCATCTTATTTTTCTATATATTTTTTTATAAATACTTTGTATAGAAAAATATATAAATGTATGAGATCCTTGTTTGACTTAAACGTTAGTTAGATCGTGTGACATAAGTGTACATTGTGTATACTAATATTATAAAGAGGTAAAGTTTGTGAGTTTGTTAGTTAGTGACGTACCGATTTAGATGAAATTTGTTAAGAAGATAGTTAAGAGAAGATACTGGAAAGGAAATGGGATACTTTTTTCCCGGTTATTTTTATCCAGGATATCATCCTACAAGGGGGTGGAAATGGGGATGAAAGTTTGTATTGGGAAGTGTCGTGAGTCGCTAGTATAGTATAAGTGATGCTATGAGATATTATAGTTTCTTGTAAGTAGAGGATAATAATTAATTAAATATAAATATAAAAAAATATAATAAAAATAATTTGAAAACACTTTAATGATTTATGATTTTACAAATTGACGTAATTTTCAATGCAATTTACTATGTTGCTATATTTTATATTTTTGTTTCATTGAGAAAATCATTTTACCAGGCATAACTTCAAAGTTGGAATACATCAAAGAAATTGGTGCTGGCGCAATATGGCTTTCTCCTATATTTCAATCTCCTATGTATGATTTCGGATACGATATTGCTGATTTTTACGCGATCCATGATGAATATGGAACAATGGAAGACTTTGAAGAGCTTCTTGGAAAAGCTAAAGAACTCGGTAAGAACTATTTGGTATTGATCATATTATTTGTCTTTATTACTTGTATATTTGTGAAAGTTGATTTTAAGAACTTATTTCATAATAATTTATATCAAAACTATTAAGACATCCTGACATAAATTATATGAAAAATTAATTAAAAAGCAGAATTTTATATGAGATATATTCATTAAAAAAGAAATTATGAAAATCAAGTCACTATCGGTAAACATATCACCTAGCATATCAAAAAAAAAACAAGAAAAAAATTGAATCTGTCGAAGCCCGTCATAAGTAACAAACCTCTCCTACTAAAATATAGTCATAATATTAATAGAGTTTTCTAACAGATGATAAAAACATCTTCATGAAAGCTTACATTTATTTGATAACTGCGGAGACAAGTAAAATCTCTATAATACTAGTAATGAAAAGCTCAGAGGATAATATTATAACATCCATTAGGTTTTATAAATTGTTATCTTGGCTATTCTTTACAGACAATTCACTTGACAATGTTCGATTTCAATTATTTTAATGATGTTATCCTTACAGATATCAAAGTTGTGCTAGATCTTGTGCCCAATCACACATCAAATGAAAGCGTATGGTTTCAAGAAGCTCTTAAGGGTAATGAAAAGTACCTAAATTACTTCGTTTGGGAAGATGGGGTTATAGATGAAGAAGGCAATATGCAACCACCAAATAATTGGGTTTGTTTTACCTAAGTATTTAACTCGTAGGAGGCGCCCTTACGTAAGTATAATTTCTAGGCAGGGCCTTCTATCCGCCCGGTGACGTTGTTAAGACCAGTAGGGTCAACACCACTCTATATTTCGGAAAAAAAAAACACCTGTATATATTTGAAATAATATTATATATTTTTTATATTTATTGTTACTAAAACTACATATTATTAAATTTTTATAGCTCAGTCATTTCCGAGGAAGTGCTTGGGAGTACAGAGAAGAAGTTGGCAAATACTATCTGCATCAATTCGTTGTCGGTCAGCCTGATTTGAACTATCGTAATCCTGATGTTTTGAATGAAATGAAAGTTAGTATTATAATTTGTGTTAATTCTACTTGTTTCCTTTATGATTTGAAGAAAAACTATAAGCAATATATAACAAGCAAATATCTACTTTAACTTTAAGATTGTTTATACCAATGAATTCTTAAAATTGGTTATCATTGATTAATAATTTTAGTATCCTAAAAAATCAACGTATTTTAGCCAAATAACAAGTAATCCTAAGTACTATTAAGAAATGTTTTTTTTTAAGATAAAAATAAGATATTTTTCGAAATTTTGCAGGATATAATTAGCTTTTGGCTTGAAAAAGGCGTCGCAGGCTTTAGAGTTGATGCTGTTAACTGTCTGTTCGAAGTTGATAAAAATCTTTTTGGTGGCAAATATCCAGATGAACCACCTTCTGGAAGAACTGATGTTGATGCTGGATCATTTGATTCTTTAGCGCATATTTATACAAAAGATCAAAATGAGACTTATTATGTGGTATATGATTGGAGAGATGTCTGTGATGAATATGCTAAAAAGGATGGTCTAACTAGAGTTATGATGACTGAAGTATATGCGACTATACAAAACGTGGTAAAGTATTTTGGTGAAGGTGACAGGAATGGTGCCCAGATGCCGTTTAATTTTGATTTGATTACGGACGTCGATGCTTCGTCTAGTGCAGCTGATATAAAGAGAGCAGTTGATAAGTTTTTAACTTACAAGCCCCTTGACAAAGATGCTAATTGGGTGGTACGTAAAATACTATTATACAGCGATTATAAAATATATAACTTGACATTCTGAATTTTTATTATGAAATGTTTGTCTGTTTGCGTGTCTTAATGATTGAAAGAAATTTATTTTAAATGAAAATGAAAAAATCAAACATTTCATATTTTTGTATATGATATGTAAATAGTTATTTATTTTCTAAATTTTTCAGGTCGGTAATCACGATAACAGCAGAATGGCTACTCGTTATGGTCCTTCTCTAGTTGACGGGATTAATATGGTTGTTTTATTACTTCCTGGCGTTGGAGTTACATATATGGTTATATAATATTGTTTATTACATACTTATTATATATATTTTATAAGCAATTAATTTAAACAATCAATTAAATCTTATTCAAAGTTTTTATAATTAATTAAATTTACCGTTTCTGGTAACCAAGTAGTATTGTCACTACTCACTATGTTATATACTTGTATACTTTTAACAGGGCCAAATTAACCATGCATGCCCTGGGGGCCCATGCAACGCAATTCTCGGAGCCCTTTCACTCTTTTCTAACTTATTAAAATTCCTTTTTTCGTAATTACGCTATTAGGTAGATTTACTTTTAAATTTTTTAAATTTAATTTTCACTCGATGATACATTTTCATATTTTTTTTCTCTAGCCGCTGCGGGGCCCATAGACAGTTGCCTAAGCTGCCTTATGGATAATCCGGCCCTGACTTTTAATATGAAACTTATTTATATTTCAGGGCGAGGAACTAGGAATGGTCGACGGTTATGTAAGCTGGGAAGATACTGTTGATCTATCTGGGTGTAACACAAATGATCCTGTTAATTATGTAACTGCATCAAGAGATCCCGAACGTACACCGTTCCAGTGGAATTCAGAAAAGAATGCTGGTATACAGCCGAAGTTTTAATTTATTACACTTGTGTATCAATAAGTATAAGGCATGAAAAGATGAAAGTGGTTTATTACTTTGCTAGTTTGTTTTCTTTCACGCAATAATGGATCAATGTGATTATTAGTACATAAATATAATTTATGAAGCATATAAAGGTCTAAGCTAATTTATCTTAGTACAATAAGTGATTCTACAATATGTGAAACGCCATAAGAATGTGTATCACTGATCTGCCTGTATTCATTAACAAAATTGCTTAGTGTACATACTATTATGTATAAAGAAAATTAAAAATATACTTAATTATATATACAAAATAAATGTATACTTATTATTACTGTACAAGCCATGTCTGCTTGGAATAGTGGCAAGAAAGCCGCATTTCCCCGTTAAATGGCAATGCCGATTCTTTAGGCGAAAAATGCGCCAGCTGTCCTCAGTAAAGGCGATAAGACGAGGTGTTATGGCTTTTAAGAAGTGCTAGCACTTTGACTCCATGGGTCAAGGGTTTTTACAGCAAATGGAATAAAATCTTAATTTTGACTAAGGGAGCATACACTTAAGTTATAGTGACATTTATTTAAGACAGCAGAATGTTTTGATTTCTTAATGTTTATTTCATATTTCATTTAAATAATATATTTTTTTAATTTTGTAGGTTTTTCCACTGCTGATAAAACCTGGTTGCCAGTCGCTGAGGGTTATGAGACATTAAACGTAGAAGTTCAGAGAGCAGCAAATAGGTCTCACTTGAAAGTTTACCAGGCCTTGGCTGACCTTCGACAAGATAATGTGTTTAGATATGGAAGATACGACTCCTTAGCAATTAATGAAGATGTGTTTGTTTTTAGAAGGTAGATAGTCATACAAATATTCATACTATTCGTTTGTACGTTATATTATTGTAATTATAAATATTAAAAGTAGACAAAATTGACAAAGTAACTTATGTATAAGAATCAATAGCTGATTTCACAGAATTTAGCTTTTTCTGTAGTGTTTTTACTGTATTAAGTGGCATTACCCAATATTACGATACGCAATCACATTAAGAGCAAATCTAAATACGTCTCAGTCACCCCAAATAAAAGTAATCTTGAATTAAAAAACAGCAAATTAATTATATACTCGTATCATTAGAAAAAAAAATCTTATAATAAATTACATTAACGCAAATATTGTTTACTACGAATATTCAAACTATTTTTATTGAATCTATACTAATATTATAAAGAGGTAAAGTTTGTGATTTTGTGAGTTTGTGGGTTTGTGAGTTTGTGACGTTGTAGAGGGTCGTTTAATCTCTGGATCTACTGAACCGATTTTCAAAATTCTTTTACCAATAGAAAGCCACTTTTTGTCTAAGTGTCATAGGCATATATTAACCCGAAGAGTGAAAAGACTTTTTCGTGGTAGTCGAATTTGCAAAGTAAGTCGGAGAAAAAACGGTCGAACGAAAACGTTTCTTACGAACGCTGCCCTAACGATGAGAGATATATGATTATGTTCTAGAGAAAAGTTGTAAAGCTTAACAATGCCTACAAAAAAGCCAGCGACAGCAATGTCTAACTTTTATATTTAAGTCACAAAAAGTAGTTTTAAATATTAAAAAAATAATTTAAATCGGTAGGTCATGTTTATTGGTCATAATATCAAGAATTATGAATTCTTATCAAAATAAGTAAGCTTATCGTCTAAAATGTTTAAAACAAAAGACTTTCCTTTTACTGCATATAATTTGGACAAATGGTTAAAAAGATGATACAACATATTCGTAGGTATGGACGAACCCGAGCGAGCTGTTTGTCTGTTTTTTTGTTTGTACGGGCTAATCTCCGAATCTATTGGACCGATTTAAATGAAATTTTGCATGGTGGTACCTTATATCCCCGGGCAACATTTTAGATACTTTTCATCCCGGAAAATTAAAGAGTTCCCGCGGGATAGTTAAAAAACTATAACAACTTATACAGCTTAGTACACAACAACTTACGCACCTAATTTCGTAAAATTTGGCATGGTAAAAAAATTAAATTAACATTAAAATTTCCGGTCAAACAACAGATTACTTTTCATCCTGGAAAAATGAACGGTTCCCGTGGGATAGATCTGTGCTTTTGTAGAGGTGAACCCGAGCGAAGCGAGGGTGAGCCGCCAGTTATTAAATAATTATCTATTTCTATAAACTCTATTTCTAACAAAATATTATTTCTATTATATTTATATATAACATAATATGTTAACAGAAATTAATGAGTTTAAGAAAAGTAAATAAAATATCAGCATGACATTTATTTTGTTTATACAATATTATTTTACTGAACTATACAAGGCTTTTAATGCTCAATATTGATATTTGAGTTTGGCCCTTGTTACGAGAAGACAAATAAGAGAATTTCTTAAATAAATACACTAGAAACTAAAAAAGGAACATTCAGTGTATCCTTTGTGTATACTTTAAAGGAAAAAGTATATAATTAAATTTATAACTTTTCATTAATTTGATTATGCCTTTGGTCAATTTACGTGCACAAATAAATAGAAACTAACGATAGACTGCAACTCCACCCGTGCTTTTTGTGTCGATCACAGATCATATAATACTCGTACCATACTAGTATGTAGATATAATAACTTCACCTTTAAATGTTAGCGTAACTTGTCAATCTTCTGGAATAAATCTAACATATAATAAAATTCTAACCGAGTCGAATTTGTAGTTTTTAGAATTTTTGTCTGTCTGAGAATTCATAATGAAAAAAAAATATTAGATAGGTTTTGATGAAATTTGGTACGACGATAGCTGGTTGTCCGGGTCTACATTTAAGATACTTTTTCCTCCGCGTAAATATCTCATTTCTGAGAAATCTATACTAACTGTTAAACGTACATAGGGACAAAATCGAGCGGAGCGAGGGTGAGTAACTAGTAGTCTATAAATACAAAAAGACTGGTTCTAGAGATTTGTGCGTGCCAACAAACAAACAAAAGTTAAACAAAGCTTTAGTTTTTATATATTAGTTTTTCTTTTATATATTAGTAGATTTTGACATATTTTTGCTGGGAATTTATAAATATTTTATAGTAATACTAGCGGACCCGACAGACGTTGTCCTGTCTACACGTCTTTAATTTGAAAATTTCAAACTTTTTTTAATAATTTTTTGATGAAAATTATTATTCAAATTGTGAATCTAAACCATTCCCAGATCCCCTTGAACACACACAAAAAATTTCATCAAAATCGGTCCAGTCGTTTGAGAGAAGTTCAGTGACATACACACTCACAGAAGAATTATATATATAAAGATTTTCATGGTGTGTTCATGTATTCAATAACAAATCAGTAAATAATTACATAATGTATTTTACAGATGGTATAACGGAGAAACCTATTTAGTATTGATTAATATGCGAGATGTGGAATATGTCGTGGATTTAACATATTTCGAGAATGTCAGCGGTAAAGCCCGCGTGGTTGTGAGAAGCATTCAATCTCCTAAGGATGAAGGGTAACTATATGTATTTGAATATTTATATTTATAGATTTTTTGTAGCTACACATAAAACATAGGTTGTATTGTCTTGAAAGCTTATAAAATTTTCACAAAATATAGTTAAACACCCAGTTTGTAACAAAAGAATTATGAACAACTAGCGGCTCACCCTCGCTTCGCTCGGGTTCGTCGCTAGGTACGTTTTAAATAGATATAAAAAGAAAAAATCTTTCTTTCTCACATTTTAATTATATGTTTTAATACTTACCTATTCCGGACTAAGAGAAATCCAAAAATTAAAATATCATAAAAATTGGAACGCGGTCGAACGGGATAAAAAGTATCCTATGTCCTTCTCCTGGCTCTAAACTACCTCCCTGCCAATTTTCAGCTAAATCGGTTCAGCCGTTCTTGAGTTATAAGCGAAGTAACTAACACGACTTTCTTTTATATATATAGATTTGTAAATACTCGTATTTGTCTCGAGCGGAATCTGAAGCCGCGACCTAGGATACAGACACTCTGATTACAGCATGACTACGCTATATGTTTTATTTTTTGTTTGCCTATTTGGTTTTTGTTTAGTCACTACCAGTTGAAATTTTGCATTTTATGATGCTGCCTAATGGCATAAAATGGTTTTAATAAACGCATAAAAAATAATTATACATAAATATATTATATATAATATAATATTTATTAGGCCACATTGCTTTGCGTTCCATCTGGTTCCGTTGTGAGGCTTAGTGAGTAGGCTCTTGTAGACGCTGTCCATTGCAGACCAGCAGGATCCCATGATAAGTTTTCCCAAAGACATAAAAAAAAGAAAGGGTTGAGCGGGAAAGAAACCTCCGTAAATAAAGGCGTTCTGTAATGAATTTCCTTATAAAAAAAAACTACCAAAAATAGCCCTATTTCACAGTTACTTAGAATTAATAGATTAAGCTACCATTGAAAGCCCTAAATCTATTTAAAAAAAATAATTATTTTGATATCTAACATTTTTTCTATTATTCAATTTATTTGCAGTGAGGCGTTTGAGGTATCGGAACTTCCTGTGGCAGGATACGAAGGCGTTGTTTTAAAATTATTGTAAATAAGAATATTGGATTTTTTATATTGTATTGATAATAAAATATAATAAACTACGTGGTTAAAGGCAATAAATACATTTTTTATTTATGACTCTTGATCGCATGATGTACCTATTGTTATAATAACGTAGTCTAAACAAAAACTGTGAAATTTAGCTGTAATATATCGTATATAAAGCAAGAATGGCAAAATGAGCAGAATCGCTTAAAAATAAGTGCATAAATTAGTACTAATTTAGTGCCAAAAGCTAAAACTTGATGCTCTTATATATTGGCAAAAAATTAGAAAAATACTAGCTTGTAATTAAGCTAGCAGTGTTACTGCCTAATACTCTAACCGCATAACACAGCATCAAATCAATCTAGCATTTATTTAGTACTCACTTAGTGCTGGCCATTCATGAAGACAAATATAAAAGTTTATAATTTTTTGTTGCCGAATGAGTGAGTTCCATTTTTATAAATAAAAACGGGAATAATTTTAAATGTTTGTTAGTGAGTACGGACACCATGACTTCAGTACTAGATTAGAAGCTAATAAGTTAAGTTACTAAGTTCACTTCAGTACTAGATTATAAGCTAAGTTACTAAGTTCAATTAGCATAATAGTTTAATATATAATTAATGTAATGAAATATTCAAAATCATTAGATATATGTCTAACATATGTATAATGTATTAAAATGCCTATGTCGCTTGAACTACGACATAAATTGTTCTTTCAATTGAACCGTGTGATTTTAAAACAACACATCTCACAATACAACACAATCACACTTTTTTGAAAATGAAGTTTCTGAACGAATTTTAATCCTTAGATCTGTGGCTAATTGTTGTCTCAATACCATACATATATATTCCTACACTCTAGTACTATAAAACGAGAACGTCGAAATACGGTATTGTTTTAAAATCACACAGCTCTAGGCGCTTTCAAACTGTGTGTTGTTTTAAAACGTATCCCCATACATAGCATTCAATTTTGAACTAGCCACTCACCCTAGCTTCGCTCGGGTTCGTCCCTAGCTTGCTTCCCGATACCAACTTTCATCCCCTTTTTCACCAACTTAAGGTATGATTTCTGGGATAAAAAATTAATTTAATTTTAAGATTAAGATTCTCAAAAAGTTGTTTAATTTTATGTATGAATATACTTTTAAAACAACACAAGTCACATGTGTTTTTAAAACAACACTCGTCCATTTTTATATTAGAAATTGCTATTATTAGAAAAACAAAGCAGCTGTTTACTCATACAAAAATGATAATAATATTCTAAGATATTAATGTTGTAGAAGTTAGTATTTTAATAAAAATCAGTTGTTTCTCTTTCCTGAAAACTTGTAATGAGACAGGACATGTGTTGTTTTAAAATCACATGATTCAAATAGAAAGTACGGGTTTTTAGCAAAAGGACACATATTAACGATTCGATATCGGCTCATAACAAGTTTGTCGTGTTACATTATATTCGTTGTCGTTTTTATACTATGAAATCTACATTTCTATAAAAACAGTAGGATATAGCCTAGTTTTACAAGTCCACATTAACAAGCCTAGTTTCATATTGGAACTTTTGTAATTCAAGTACTGTAAGTTTATACTGTGTCTAGCGACTCTCTAGGTACTAAACAATAGCCCATGTGCTATTTCAGGTCATAGCAGTCAGTAGCAGCATAGTATAAGCCAAACGTAGTGATAACTTTAAACGCTGAGAAATGAATTTACGTATACCACCTGCATACAGGCGATTATGTGGGATTCGCCTACAATTGCCAATATTACCTACTAGCCCAACGGAACCTCCCCCGTCTCTAAGAGGCTTCGCAGCGTTGCTTACGCACTCAACCACGACGACCCAACGACAGGCCTGCCGAAGCAGACCACTTTTTCTTGTACAAGTTAACTGGAGGAAGTCCTATTGCCTTGCTTCCGCATACCACCATAGGGAGCTAGGTATGCATAGTATTACGTGATCTGTGATATAATTGAAAATCAGCGCTGCTCGAGATTTCGGTCTTAGAAGCATCAGCTGAATTATTACCCTTTGTCATAGATTAAGTTAATAAAGGCTCCGTGCCTTTCTTTCTATTTTTTATGGCAATAAGTGTTTTTATTTATTTATTTAAAACCAAAATCGGTTCATCCGTTTAGGAGCTACAGTGCCACAGACATATCTATCTATGTATACGTTAAACTCCCCTACCGTCTGTTTGCGTTGGGGGCTATAATATATAATATTAGATGTCGATGTCAAGTTACAATGTAAAGAATATGAATTATACAGATATCCATATCCATGGAAATATTTTAACTCTGAAAGTGTGTTTGTTTGTCCTTCTTTCACGTTGAAACAGAGTAACAGATTGGTGTGATATTTTGTGTGGAGATAGTTGACAATTTTACCGCGGAGGATTATCTCATTCCTACGGAAAAACACCTTATAATAGAACACACAACAACTTATCGAACCTATGTAGGTATATATCTACATAATATAATCTATTTCATACTAACCGTTATTAGATAAGGATACAGAATACCACATACGGTGAGTTTAATTATATACTATTTTTGTCTATATAATTATACCTGGGAAGTATACCCTTCGAAACAAAAAAAAAACCAAATCGCATCAGGATTCTTCAAGTAATCGGTGAACATAAATAAAAAAAAGATTCCGACGAATTGAGAACCTCCTTCTTTTTGGATGTCGGTTAACAAACTTATCCGCTGGACCATGAGATATTTCCAAACACTTCATTCACGTGTCAGATTATAATGACATGTCAACGACAAGACAATGTAAAGTATGTATGTAAGTACTTGCTATTTAAATTTGGTAAAGTGATAATACAAATATAAGACAAAATATATGTATACATATATCTACGTGTCAATTTTAATATTTAAAATTCCCGTGTCACGATGTTGGTCCGCGATGAACTCCGAAACTATTTATCCGATCTTATATTCTTTATTGCAATTAAAATATGATACAGAAAAAAAAACAAAGTAAACATAGTTCACAAAGGTGGACTTATCTCTAAAAGAGATCTCTTCCAGTCAACCCCTGGTTGTGGAACAAGATGTCAGCGGGCAATATAGTGCAAAAAAAAACTAAGTATATAATAGAAATAAAGGTAATAATAACTAATTATACATACATATATACATACATACATACATATATACATATATATAAAAATATATAATACTATACATATATAATACCTAATGTAAAGACTACTTTTACATACATACATATATACATATACATAGTAAATATATAAAATATGAAAATAGAGAAAGGTACTGATTGATACTGTCTACATTTGTGATAATAAATAATTTTTTAATTTACATTTAAAGACATGAATAGATGGGCTCTCATGGATGGTTTTCAACCGACTTCAAAAAGGAGGAGGTTCTCAATTCGACTGTATGTTTTTTTTTGTTTGTTACCTCAGAACTCCGTCATTTATTAACCGATTTGGACAATTTTTGTTTTGTTTGAAAGGGTATACTTCCAGATTAGTCCCATTTAAATTTAAAAAAAAACCACCCCTGAGGATGGAAAAACAACTAATGATGAATTTAACCTACTTCTAATTGTCATATTGACTTGAAACTTTGCAAGTATTTCTATTTCAGTTGATAGTACAGTGGTTCGGTGTTGTTGACCTGATCTGATGGCAAGGCCAGAAGGTGGATAGGTGGAACTCTTCAACGGCTAATAGTAGATACTTTGAGTTTAGGTTTATTTCTTTGATTTGACAATCCTAACACGATACAATTCTTACTTTGCTACTACTGTCTACACTAAAAAGGGAAAAATAAAAACTTTTTAACAAAAAAATAAAAACCGACTTCAAACAAAAGCACTAAAAAGTAAAAAATAACTGATTGGTAGTTTTCATTTACTATACATACCTAATCAAATATATTCGAAGTCGGTGTGCTTTGCTTTATATGGCCTGGCACCGATTTCGAAAATATTTGATTAGGTATGTATTTAATAGGTAGGCTTTAATTACTTAGCCAAAGCACACCGACTTCGAATATATTTGATTAGGTATGTATAGTAAATGAAAACTACCAATCAGTTATTTTTTACTTTTTAGTGCTTTTGTTTGAAGTCGGTTTTTATTTTTTTGTTAATGGGCAGTTGGTTCCATAGTACTGCGGCATGGACAGAAAAAGAATTTTGTTGGAATTTAGTATTGCTCCTAGGAATGTCGAGCATAGAAGTACTGCAAGATCATCTGGAACGTGTAGGGATTGGTAGAAAGTTAAAACGGGAACGAAGGTAAGGAGGGAAATTTTGATTTTTAAGGATATTTTAAAGGAATGATAGGGTGTGCATATTACGGCGAAGACGGATGGGGAGCCACTTAAGTTGAGCACGGAAGCCAGAGATGTGGTCATATTTCCGCAAGCCAAAGATAAAACGTATGGCGAGATTCTGAAGACGCTCCAGTTTATTAAGTAGCTCTTCTGTCACATCCAGGAAGCAGAGTCGCGTCGGCGTAGTCGAGAATGGGTAATAGGATGGATTGTGCTAGCATTATTTTGGTTTTGAATGGGAGAAAGTATTGAAGACGCTTGAGAGAATGAAAGGAAAAATGCATACGTTTACTTAGTTCGTTAATATGAGGTGCCCAAGACATGTTACAATCAATGATGAGACCTAAATTTCTCACCTTATCCGAGTAATGTATAGGGATTCCAGAGTACAGGATATCAGATACTAAGGTCCAGTCAATCCTACTTCGTAGTCTGCTGCTACCAATAATAATAGATTGCGATTTTTTGGGGTTTACTAATAGACCGAAAGATTCAGCCCAGCTTTGTATCGCAGCTAAATCATTGGTCAAAGCCGTAACAGCCTCAGGCAACTCAATTAAATTACAATGTCGGTATATCTGCAAGTCATCTGCATACAAATGGTAGGGAGAAGAAATGACATGTGAGATATTATTAATGAAAATAGAAAAAA